ATGTCCAAACGGGGACTAATAAATAAATAAATAAAGCATGTCAAAGACGTTATGTGATAATTTTAAACAGATAAATACATAACACATGTGTTGTAAAATTTGACTACAAAAACTGCATTATTACCATGATTGTACTTCCTTTGAACTTCTTTAACAACAGCAGCACTGGGACATCTTCTGAAAATACCTTCAGTATCCAACCCTGTAAGTACATTATATAGGAATGTAATACAAACCCAAAATACTATGGTATGTTATCCACAATACATTACCCAGGGTAATGATCAGAGTAAGCTGGTCACACTATTTAACAGGACTGGTGATTAACTCTTATGAAGTTGTTACAAACATTGAATACAAACTATTAGTGTGTTGATTTGATATGAAACGCAAGTAAAATTCAACTTATTTTTATCGTAAGCAAATGTTTTCGGTCTCATGCAAATACTTGATGCAATAAGATATCTGCTGTGTTTGTTTTATACACAAATTGAGTTGAATCTGCTACATTTCAACAAATATGCATTTGTACTGTAATGTATTTGTGAATTTTCAACGTGCTGGATGGTGAATTCACAACAGATGTGATATTCAATTGTTTACAGTACATTATCATTTGTGAAAAAGTTTTTTTTTTTAAAAGAAACAGGGATTAAGAATTTGAGAGAAGTAATTAACACTTTTCATGGTAATTTTTAAACAGAGTTTTGCATTTTGCATTCACAATTTTACTTTTTATTTTATTTAGTCGCCAGCAATGATAGAAATGTTCTAAAAATGACATCTAATGAGAATACCTACTGCACATTTCTAAAACTCTGATCTGAACTAAATATTTTCTGTGACTCCCAAATTCTGGAACAGATTTTTTTTGCAATTAAATGATTTCCCACCTGCCAAATCATCACCTATGGGTGACAAATAGAGACAGATACAGTAGCTTTGTGAATACCATATGGGTTCATGTCACTACCGGTAATTAGCTTATCAGGGTTCAAAGCCCTCAAATATCATGGCTGTTGTTAGCCAATGGGTTTTCTTTCACCACATTTCTATCTGTAACGTGACATGTGAGGGCATACTTCAATTTACATTAGTTGTTAGACTTGTGTATGAAGTTTTGTTTATTGACAAGTAACGGTGACCTGTGACCTGTGACCTGTGGATATAGGCAACTCTTGATCAGACACTTCAAAACTGACTGCTTTTTTGAGAATATTAAATGCAGGCCAACATGTGTTTTTCTGGCCAGAATTCTATTACATGTACATACATGCAGCATGTACATAACGTTTCAACAAATTGAGAAAATATTTTGATCTTTGTATAAAAACCTGTTTTTTTTTAGAAATTCACCTGAACACTAAGATTGTCGTCTATGGAGTTCTAATTAATAGTGTGAGCCCTATACACACATACTTGTACAAAGACAAAAGAAAGCAAGACAGGTCCATTCACTGCTCTTTTCACTAAAATGAAAATTTATAAACAAATACCAACCATTTTCTTCTAAGTATGTGATTGTCTCCACCATAACTTTTGGTAAAACTTTGCCTTCATTATGGACTTTCAAACTGTGACAATAATGAAGAAATTAGAATTAACTTTCTATGCAAGGAAAGTTTCCTGTCAAAGTTTTCCAAATAACAAAAATGTAATATGTAAATATTATTTGTTTTTACTCACAATTCCAGAGAGACACCAAATTGTTGTGTTGGTAGTGGCTCCGACTTTTGTCCATCTGGTACTACTGTGTTGGTAGATAATTTATTCCGATATTTGACCATAACCTTATCATCATGTCTGTGACAACAAATCAAATTACACCAATAAGATAAACATAGCAACTAAACAAGTATCATATCAGCCATGACAGTACACACATAAACAACTGGTGTACATGTGACAATAAAACGAATGTGAATAATTTAACTAAATAAATGTTTACTATATTGGACCGCCATTTTGAATCCAGCCAGAATAAAAAAAAAATACATTGTACTGTATTTTAGCTGAAATAAATTATCGCTGAAATGACTTTTTTTTTTTGTTGTTTTATTTTCACTGATTGTTGATAAGTTGAATGTAAAATATAGAAAAAGAGGTATATTTGCTAGATTTTATTTTCACTGAATCATCCCATTCAGGGAAAAAAAGCAAATATAAATTCCAAGCGAAAATAAAGGATTTCACAGTAAACAAATTTTGAAATGTTTTCCAGATTTCTACAAATCAAGAGTGAAAATACAAAATTTTCACAGCCAAACGATTCATCAGGGTGAAATTAAGCCAAATGCTGACAAAACTCTACCACAATAAATTGCAAATGAACACCCCATTACAGAACCAACACAGAACCTAGAACACTTTCCAAGGATATTTAAAACTCAAATTATTCTTAAATAATAAGACCATTGCTGATTGTAACTAAGAACAAAAATAGTATGAACAGGATACAAACTATAGACCTCTCAACAATCCTCAGTGACAAGTAAATGTATCGTCAAAGGAGTACATGTGTATCATTACAAATAACATTATATTGACCTTTTCACCACCAGATTCTCTCGCCCAAATATTTTGGCATTTTTTTTCTTATATTTTTGGGAATGAACCCCAATTTTAGAGCAAAAAGATAAAATTTCAGTTATTACTCAAATAATTTGGCTATTTTTGTCCCAATCTTCTGAAGGAAAGTACAGACTATAAACAGAACTATTTTGTGAATTTGTGATGAAAAGTGAGAACTGGTGGAGAAAAGGTTAACTATTACAATGTTATAAAAAGTATATCACGATTATGCATGTCAATATGATCATAATATTGACTAACACATAACACAGGTCAATGCAATACCGTACTGCCTGAATGAATACTTTCCAGTGACCACTTTTACATGAGGGTAAGCATTCAGTCATGGGATACAGATCCAACACAAGTTAAATATCTGTAGTAGCAGAACGCAATGTAAACAAAATGAAGTCCTCAAAGATGATGTAAATGTAACATACTTTTTACAAATCTGGATGACATATGTAACCACTCTGATATATCACTAACAGGAACACTTTCACTTTTGTACGTACAGCGAAAATGTAATGGCTGCCAAATGTATAGTACTAGGACTTACTCTTTTATTTGGGCTGGTATGATCAGCTGATCTATACGGATCACACTCTCCAGCTGCTTAAGGTAATTACAGTATTGCACTTTGCGTCCAAACTTCACAGATATAAGAGGCTTGAATATTCCCCACAATATTTTAATAAAGTAAGTTGGATGAACAAGAAACATTGACTTGAGATTCTTTTTGTATCTGAAAAATAGACACACCAAAGTTATTTATAATAACTGGTCACAGGTAGCATAGTGGTTGTTGCATTCAACTGATGATCAGTAGACCCAAGATCAAATAATACTTTAGGTTGAACATCCTACCATGGGTGAGTGTGCTACAGACTCAATGATGAGAATCTTTCACTTTGCGGAACTTGTGCATGCCTGTGATTGACCTGGACTGGTTGACGCTAGAATAGCGCATTAAATAGGCGATTTTCTGTTCAATTGCGAGATCTTGCAAGTTGTGTGAATGATGCACGTCGAACGCCTGCCGCAAAAATCAAACGATTTGATTTTAAACTCAATTTTCTTTATTTCATAACTCACATCGAAAGGCTGATTTTTGACAGGGGAATATTGCATTTGAATACCTTTACTTCAACGAAATTGACCATCATTAAATGTGTACAGCACATTATTAAGCATGGAAATATCTCCCAAAATACTTTCGTGTTTGTTGAATCCCACGCGATGTTTGTCGCCACTGCAAAGCTATGACCTTTGTTTGTCCCGTTTTTACGTTGGATTTCACGTATAACACAGAACAGAAAATGGTCTATTGCCATTTGATAGAGGGATGGCTGCATAGCCCTGTCATGTAATATGGATTCCGTGACAAAAAAGAACTTACACTAACAATACTTACTTTCTGTCGAACTCCCTATATGCTTGACGTAACCAGCTGAACGATGGTTTATTACCACGACTCAAACCGTGATGAAAATAAATTAAAGTATAATCGTTTTCTACATACTTATCCAACGTGTATTTCAAATATCTGCCAATAAAGATAACAACAACAATTACATTTCTTTTTGTAAATGGTACTAACGTGCAATTAGATTAAATTAAAATTGTAAATTACTAACATGCATTTAAGTAATGATCATTATTATACATCTGTCACCGTAACACCATTACAGTGTTACAGTTACAGTGTTCAATGTGTAATTTTGCAGTATCTTCATCCTACCATATTAGGAAATGCGAATTCCAAATATGGAATGATTACACGCATAATCGTCCTCTGATAATAAAAACAAACATGGTTGCCACCAGGGTTTGACCTGACTCCACAAAAAAGTCTGCTGATTCTGTTCTAAACTTTAGATTTCGGCATTCCCATGATGTAACATTGGGAGGAAAAGATGTATAATAGTAAGGTTATTACGAAGATGCCACAAAGTATGTACTCAGACAGTACACTGTTGCATCAAACTCCGCTGTGCATCGGTCCATACTGCTGCTGTACTATCTTGTGCATACTTTTTTGGTATCCTCGTAATAACCTCATATTATTATCAAGCATAGAACGTGCAGTTAATTCAATCCTACAGTATAATACCCGCCCTACCCACCCAATGTCACGTCAACTACAGGAAATATTTTGACTCTGCTGCATAAACTATTTTTTTTATTACTACATACACTAAAAACTCCACCACATTGTGTTTCAATGTTTTTCTTACAACTGTTTATTTTGTGCATTTTCTAGCTGGTTTTCCATGTTTGAATGAGAATGAGTGATCAAGCAAAAAACATGCAAATTTTCACAGGTTCAAAATTGAAGGCAAAGGTTTGTCCACCAGCACATATAGATATCAGTGCTTGCCTTTTGAAAATGGATGGTGAGTGAAAAATTGCTCTCCTAAAAGCACTGAGGTGAGTTATGGGAGTGATTACAAATTTCTCGCCTAAAAGCAGTGAGGCGAGTGATTTTAGAAAATTATATGATTTGCAATAAGGGTGAACCCAGGGTGTTTTAGTTAACTATAACTGCCTATGACTATATTTATAGTGAATAAATTATTATGGAAATAAAATACTACAGACATGTTGTCATTCTTTTATATTTATTTATTTTCAAATCACACAACTCACTTTGAAATTGTGTCACAGTCAATCTCACATTTTAATCAGGACCAATGTTATTGTCAGATGACAAATGTCTAGAGACATTATGTTTTGTCACGCTATTTGTCCCATTAACGTAAATCATTAGGTCGGCCTGAATTTTTTGCATATATTTGGCGCAGAGGTTACACCATACTTCGACTACAAGTGTTTGACCCTTATCCGTTTCCACACGACGATATCCAAGAACCGAACGCTAGAACCTAGATTGTCGAAGTCGGGACTTCTTTTTTGTTTTACAAAAAGAAATAATTATTTTTCATTTAGTCCTTTTAGCGTGATCGCGAAAACTACAGTCCCTCTATGTGATATAGGGACTGTGCGAAAACTATTCTAGCCGCAGTCACGCTAGTTTTTGCGATCACATTAAAAAGGCTAAATTGACAATAATATTTATTTTTTGTGAAACAAAAAAGAAGTCACGACTTCGCCTGTCTAGCTAGAACCCTTCGCAGGATAATCATCACTCGACGAGTATAAATAATACCAGAGTTCGTATTTAGCATCGCCGGTTCCAGTTTGCTGACATATTTTTTAATGGAAAAAATTAATAAATCACGATCCAACTACAACAAATTTTCAATTTATCGGTGATATTACGGAAAATCAGAAATACTTGCAATATTTGTATTAAAAAGCTGTATTCTCCCAACCTTGTGACGTCACATTGACTACTAGTATGTTACCCATGCTCTAATTGGTTACAAATTAAATACTGAGCTTTTACCTGCCAATAGAATTTGGCGTTGCTACGTTTGATGTCAACGGTTGTCCTTAGTGACAACGCATCATGAACTCCGCTTGAACTCTTATACTTTTAATACTCTTATAATTTTAATTTTTGGCGATAAACTAAACACATTTATTTTGTAATATTAATAAAAACGATTCTCTTTTTAGAGGATTTCATGGCCCTGAAAAGGGCCGTTTGATTTTGGTGATTCACTTGCCTTCTCAATCGTCGTCGTCATCACCCTCCCCGGATGCTTGTTTCACAGTCTCTCTATCGAGGGACTGTGCTTGTGCTAGGCGAGTGTTTTTTAGCTCGCCTCGTGAGCCTCTTGCGCGAGCGATAGGCGAGCGAGCGATCGCTCGCCATAGACAGCAAGGCCTGAGATATGTGCTATTGTGCCATTTTACTGGTGATCTGGTGTTTGCAATTTGAAGTTCTTACATTCTTAAGTTCTGCTTATTCGTATTTCTTTACCAGAGAAGTGTCAGTGCCCAAAACATCTAGCTATTTTGAATAGTTACTTGGGACGACGATTACCAAATATTATCTACCATACAATGTATAACATACTGCGAATCACTTTCATTTCACGGGAGACAGTGGAAATCACAAAATCTCCAGCAGTGAAAATTAAATGGTTTACAGTATTCATTGATCCTACAAGTTTTTATAAATATATATACTACTTCTACATACCGTAGTAGTCTAGTGTGGTCTATCTGACTGCTGGGAGGTAAATGACAGCTATAGAAAGCAATAACAGGACGTCCTAATTTATCTGAACCTAGGTAGAAAAAATACATTACATAGTTGTGTCAATATAGTAGCTACTTCCAAATCCTGAATGTCAAGTCATGAAGTGACAGTCATCAGAACACAAAACAGTAATGCTTCATGCTAGACTTGTTGCGAAGGACTATTACTGTAAAATCTGTATTAGAAACCGCGGCTTCTATTATAATAGTAGTATGTAATAGAGGGGATGCGGCTTCTATTATACCTACACATATGAGAAATGATGAATTTTTGGTTCTCAAATATTCTAAAAGAATGGGGCGACTTTTATAAGGAATGAGGCTACTAATACAGATTTTATGGTAATAGATGAATTCCGTTCATTGCAGAAATCAAATGATTTGTATTTTTTTTTTATAGTCCAATGCCAAATGTGTTAGGATAACTTTACTTTATTATAATTGACCATCATCAAATTTATATTGAATCCTATGGATGTTTTGACACGACTAAGACGCTAGAACTTTTGTTTGTCCTGTGTTTACATTTGCTTTCGCGAATAACACTGTAAATGAGAATGGTCTTATAAACAAACAAGACTGATTTTGTTACCTGCTACTTCTATGATTTTGTATTTGGCAATATCTTCGTAGGTGTCTTCAACAATTGGTTCAGGTGTTTGTCTCTGTGGTTCTGATACTGGTAACGATACTGGTCTCTGTGGTTCTGATACTGGTGCTGATAATGGTTCTGCTGGCAATGTCTCATTTTTTGTAGCAACAGAAGAGTCTTTCTGTGTAGTCGCTTCATAAGAATTTTTCAGCTCTATAAAAATAGAAAAGAACCATGGGTGTAAATTACGTACTGTAAATACCTTCTTTTTGCTTTGAATTTATTTTCCTTATTTTTGCTGATGATTCAGTGAAAATAAAATCCAGCGAATACATTTTATACTCAAGTCATCAACAATCGATGAAAATAAACTTCTGTACAAAACGTGCAAAATATCTCTTCAGCTAAAATAAATCATTTGACAGTAAAAGATGGAGAACAGTAAATAATAAATTCATATTTAATAGTAAAATAAAAATGTTTTTTTCCTTTTTACCTTGCCCGTAACATCAAAGATGGAAGGGAAAGGTATATTATTAAGGGAAAAATTTCTGTCCGGCGTTGTCGTTGTTGTCGTCGTCGTTAATAATTGTCATTGTGTGCATAATAACTTTACTTATTCAATTCCAAACTTTATCAAACTTGGTCACCTTATTCATCAGTATAAAGTCTTCCCTGAGTATGAATGACAGATTTCCTGTATGAAAATATTATGCAAAAATCTGATAAAATATTTTGACTGTTTCTACTTGACTGAGGTACTGTTGAAAGTACCTAAAGTACTGTTGACTTCTCTCTCCACTGGACACCAACTAACTACTGTAGAATACTTTATTTTTGCTATTTTCGCTAAAGGGATTATTCCGTGAAAATAAAATCCAGAATATACATTTTTTCCTATACTGTAAAGGGGGTAATTATTCACTGGGTTTTAATTTAGCTTATTTCGCTGACTGGAAAAATGCGCTAAATTAAAACACAGTGAATATGTACAATTTAGCATAGAACACATTATCTAAATGACGAAACCGTGAATTTAAAACCCACTGAATATGCCTGAAATGGTAAATCAGTGAAATTTAAACCCAGTGAAAATTAGTCATTTTATAGTATTTCACATTAAACTCGTCAAAAATCAGTGAGAATAAATTCCTTACAAAACGCCCAAAAAGGCTTTTCAACGAAAATGAATCACAGCGAAAATAAAGTATTCCACAGTATGTAAGTTGATTTACATTACAAAGCAGAGCTTGCAACATGATAGCTATTCATAGATGGCGTTTTTGTTTACTTTTCAAATAATACAGTAGTCACTCAATGAATATAATAAGGCAGTTCATATTTGTCCCAGTGAATCATTAATTTTTGACAGACACCTGTACAAAATACTTGGGCAAAAGCCAGCTAAGATTTTCTGGTTCTAGTTTCTTGCATGGTTTATGAATCTATTCACGTCTAAATGCAGCACCTTTTTTCTGAGATGAGGCATTTGTTTTTATACTAAAAAATCTGAATTACTTTGAATAAAGCTGGAAATTATGTTCCTTAAAATAATTAAACAAATCAGGCACCAATGTTTTTGTAAGATATTTACATCTATCAAGAACATTCGATAAACTGCTTTCCCCATTTGATCAGCATTACGTTATGAGAAAAAAATGAATAACTTTATTCAAAATGCGGATGTATGTGCGCCATTTTGGACTTATTTTTTAACGCAAGATTACCCAGAATTTTCCATTAGTAATGTTGGAATGTCATTTGTAAAGGATTTACCATTTAAATGGTAAAATAGAAGTTTATGTTGATTGATCCTAGTCTATTTATTGTAAAGACGCTAAAAGTAAATTTTTGATATCTACCTCCAAAGTGGAGATTGAAGACCTTGCTATCGTTATGGTAGCTGTGCATGGCTGAGGTCACAGAGTCATCTGCCCATATTAAGATACTAAGCCCCCCCCCCATCTAATTCAATGGTAGTCACGTGACTGCTAAGTAAACAAACAAAAAATATTATTTAAAAAAATGAGTACGTCGCAAAACTGAAACTAGTTAAATAAGTAACAAACATCGTAATGTTAACCATACGATGTCCCACCCAATCGGGTAACAAGATTTTTGCCCAGAGTGTTGCGTTATTTTCATGACACTAGCTTGAAGTGTTGAACCACAGTCACTGAATTACACCTAATTTATTTTGAGTTTAAAACGTGATTTTTCGCCAACGGCCATTGTTACGATAAAACGCTTTCACTCGCATGTTTGACACTTTCGGTAGAACATCCTGTGCAAAATTCAAGGGAATGCGATGTAAAAAATTACAAGAAAATTATAAAAAATTGTACCAATCTAATTATTTGGATTATCAGCCCTTAAGTGACTAATATTACCGGTAAAAAGGTAGAGCTGCTGCCTACTGTAAAAATCATAATTGAGGCAGCGGCTCTAATTAAAATTAAATTTTTTAATGTGTGACTTTAAATGCGTGAAGTCTGAGGGCGGCTTCAATTAGGGCATGCACTTTCTTAACAGTGGGAAAATTTTGATATGCTAATGAGATGCACAACATTCAATTGCAACATAAAAGAAACTTTGTTGCAATTCTAAGCGTTCTTTTGGATTTTCACACACAGACAAACTTGTACACACAATAAATATACACTGTACAAAATACTGCAAAACAAATCTACAAATAGATTTGTACACATTTGCAGGTTACGGTACCGTATAATCTCTTGAATAGGCATCAGGGAAGAATGAAAGGCCTTAATTTGCTTATAAATAGGCGGCACCAAATGTTAAGTTAAAGATTATACGGTATATCTCTTTTTGAAATATGTGGTGGCCCTGATAGGGCCATTTGGTTTGTGTGGCAAACATGTATGTGAATGTTTGGGGTGCAGCTTATCTTGGAGGGTTTCCCTGGGATTAAAACTTGTCAATTTCAACAAGAAATGTTTCAAGTTAGGTATGTGTCTTCTATTGAAACTGCGACCACAATTATGATTTTTACGATAAATTTAAAAACTTAATTTTTTCATTCTTTTTTGTTGACAATGCCCCCCCCCCAAGAAGTTAAGTCTATAAATTGTACCTCACCAACATGTTTTTTATTATTATTTCAAGTATTTCGTTTTAGAGAGCTCAGATGTATCATGTTTTTTTTTCACATCTATAGTTGAACCATGCTTATGTTCTTAAAATAGAATATAAATATATTAAATAAAAATCCCTGCCTACCTACCAAGTATTTTTAGACGGGTCATTACCGGAAACATGTTATTTGGTCTGAATGAAAAAAAAATATGCAACCCTACAAGCGTTGGCCTCGTGCGTTGTTATGTAAGTGATCACTTCCTAGGGTGCAACCGGGATGCGAATAAAACAGAAAGTAACACTACATCGTGCAGTTGATCGAAACCGGAATATAAATTGTTTTTGAGATGACAGAAACCGATGCATTTGCATAGCTGACCTTCATCGCTTATTTTCTCCCAATCTTCCGTGTCCGTTTCGAAGTAATGACTTTGGGGCCGTTCGTTGTCATTTCCACTTCCGTTTTCGGCGGCTTGATTCGCCTTTGATGGGTCCGACGTCGTGCCACTGATTGTGGCAGAGTCGCCTGCATTTTGGTCCAGCGCGCTGTCCGCCATTTTGTCAGTTTGTTCTTGAGTGTTTACTCAACGAATGAGTTCGTACCTTGTCCCACTTACAGGAAGTCTGCGCCTTTTTTTGTCAAGTCTCACGAGCAATAACCTGCGGCCTCACACATTCAGTGTACGTGAAAACACATAATAACCACGTATTTATTTATTTATTTATTTATTTATTTATTTATTTATTTATTTATTTATTTATTTATTTATTTATTTATTTATTTATTTATTTGTTTGTTTGTTTGTTAGTTTGATTTAAATATATAATCATTCCCTGGGTCTGGCGTTTATTCAAAAATATTATAAACTCTCCATACTCTCCATACAAAATAAATATTTTTGTTATATATTAATTATATATTCAAGCTTTCCGTTACGGTATATCGTGTCTTGGCTTTCCAAAAAAGTACGCTGAACTATCAGATCATGATGTGACCAAACCACGTGATTGCATATGAAATAACATTGCATTTGTACACAGCACGTTATGATTAAAGTGAGGTGGTCGTCGCGCTGCGCATGTGCGACATTTGTTGATAAACATTGATATTCCTACAATCCAATGCGCTCTTCTAATGGAGATCACAAGTATGAGGTTTGACCTGGGCGCGACTTGAACCGAATACCGCCAGTGACTCCTTCCATACCTTCCAATCACCTAACAATTACCTTTGTTTATATGACACCCATATATCTCGCGCATGCGTGGTGCGACGACTACCGCCCTTTAAGATTCCAATGAAATACTTTCTAAGTAATGTAAATAGTTATATTAAAAGGCAATAAATGAAATCCTATCCAGCGTCAACATCTAGCATTCTTCTAAAAAAAAGGTTTGATTGAATGGCTTCACCAAATAATTGTTAGGAATAAGCTTACGAGCGATTTGTTTGCGTTAGTAACTTCAAATTTGGGGAACTAATAATAACAGGATGATTTATGTTATGTTCATGTTAAAGTACTGTAGAATACTTTATTTTGGCTTGGAATTTATTTTCGCTATTTTCGCTGAAGGGATGATTCCGTGAAAATAAAATCCAGCGAATATATTTTTTTCCCATATTTCACATTAAACTCATAAAAAATCAGTGAAAATTAATTCCATACAAAACGCCCAAAAAAGCCTTTTCATCGAAAATTAATTCCAGCGAAAATAAAGTATTCCACAGTAAATTACGCCATATAAGGCAACCATTTTAACAAACCAAATTAAAAATATAATTGAAAGTAGAACAGATTTGTACTTGGATCATTGTACATTTGTAAACTTGTGGTTTGCAGAAAAATAGATTGTCGTTAATGTCACAATTTCCCTGGAAAAATATCGTTTTGTGATTGGTGAACTGCCACCCAGACTCAGTAGAACACGCAATATACAGACAATCATATTCATAAATGCAGTTTGGTGATTGCCCCTCCCCCTCCCCAGATACACACATTTACGTACTAGTATACCATAGCATGAAATTATGACACATACTGAACCTCAACTCCGTAAATAGTGACAGAAAAATCATCTTAATGAAATTAATGTTGCGTTAAAATGCTTCACACATTTACTAATATGGGGAAGTGCCAAAGACTTGTTTGAAATACTCCATTCCAATATATGAATCGGGTAAATTCAGTACTTTTTTTATTATAGATGAAGTATTGCGATATTCCTTTCAAGAACAACATTATGAGGATTTTTGAGTTGACTTGGGTTTAGCCGACTATTCGAATTTAAGACTATGCAAAATCGAATCGAACGGGATACAAATTTTAAGAGAATACTTGCTGAGAAACATGAAAAGCTGCATTTCACTTAATGACTATATATTTAATCAGATGTAAATTACTTTCGTACCTTTGATGAATTATGTTAAAGGGCGGTGATCGTCGCGTCGCGTGCTGTTAGATATGGGACTCATGGTGACGTAAACAAATATATTGAGAAATGTTAGTTGGATTAAGTTTTGTATATTAAAATTGTGTATCATTAGTAATCCTACTTCTGAAGTATCAGTTGCCGAAATTACAAAGGTTGTGACGGAGTGATACTATGAAAACGGAATCTATACACTTCCTGCACAAATGTGTAGCATCTTCTACGACCTGCAGAAAACATGTTTCATTGCGAAATAGTGACAGAGGTAGCAAACTACGCTACAGACCAACACCGTTGTTTGTTATTCATTCCCTGGATCTGTAGTTTTGAAAGATTTAGTGTTTTACTTTATGTGGACAGCCTGAGAAGGACTGTGGTGCCAGTGTGTAGTAATATTTGCAATTTAATATCACCCAAAATTACCAGAGGGAAACCGTATCACGTTGTTTTGATTTGCTTTTAACATAGTTCCGTTGATGCAGTCTAATACATTTATCACACAAGAAGATTGTTTCATGGAACTCCAAGATTATACCGACATATCACGTGTTTTCTCGACCGCGCACCGACGCTTCCAGACGATATTTTCGAACGTATACTGCCAGTGGATAATGTGTTTACGTCGTAGTATCGTTTGTGCCATTTATGTTTTACTTCAGAATAGCAAAGTGCCAAAAAAATTAAAGAAACGCTATTTTAAAATAAGGCGTAGATTTTCTGAAAAAATAAATTCATGCTAAATGGGAAATTAAAAGTGACAATTAATGTTGAATTGATACATAACGCAATACGATTATAAATGCCAACCTGCACCCTTCCGGTCCCACCCACAAATGGAATGTTCCATCTAATGCTTTGTTCACAATAGAGGGCGCCCTTAAGAGTGATAAAATGGCGTCTGTCAAGCAAACACCACTCTCGTGTAGTGGGCATACGAGGCCAGTTGTCGACTTGTCATTCAGCCAAGTTACACCGTATGGTTATTTTTTAATCAGCGCATGTAAAGGTAAGTCTACGAGGTAAAATGGTCAAGTTCACCTTTGTGTGTGATTCGCTGAGTCGTCACATTTACGGTGAACATGCATTCCATAGAACCCCGACCCCTCCCACCTCGGGCGATACGGGACAAATGTGGGGCATTAGACAGTGTTTACCGCCAAACTGTGCCCGTGGAGGTGGGGTAATATCCGTGTTTCGTGTCCCGTCATCGCTAGCATCGCTAGTACTCTGTTGATAGCAAGCATAGCGGACAGTGGCGATCGGTGGAGAAATGTGGGGGGTTTGTTTTGGGTGGGGATTTGCCTATCCATCTTGCCCCAGGAGGTGAGGGCATTTCGCAAATTTTACAACAATAATTTCCAAATCCCCCACTAAGCCCCGAGGTGGGGAGAGTGGAGGTTGACATTGACTGAAGCATTAATCCCGGAAGTAGAGGGATTGTTAAAACCCTGCATGTGTTTCATTGTGGGATTGGGCAGAATGCAACGAAGTTTACTTCTCTTCCTCATTGCAGTTTTTACGCTATTCTTAAGATTCTTACACAAAATGTTCAATATATTTGCGTAATTATCAACACCCAGCCCAGTGATATTTCTCCCTCACTAAATTACTGAATTACTAAATTATTAGGAATTACTCCGGTTTTAAAATGTGGGCGTCCATGATGAAAACAAAGAAAACAGGTTAGAAATGAAAGACTGTTCATAAAAATAAAACATGAAATAAGAAGACAAAGGTTTGCTTTTGCTTGGGAGAAGAAAAGACATAAATTAATTAATCCACAAAAATTCAATAATACAAAACCACAGGAAGAACAACGTACAAAAAAAAAAATGTTTCAGTCAGATTAATTCATTCGCTGCTTTTTCAAATCATTTGCAGTCCAACGTGTTACTGCTACAAGTGTCGTTTGAAGTTTTTAATGATTTTTGACTAGAACATTTATCTGATTTTTCATTTTACATTCCAATTATTTTTTAATCATAATTTTACATATCATGGAAGCAATGAGTACTTCAATGCGGTAAAATTGTCTTCATATGTGTACTTGGACTGGTCGTTAGTTTGTTTGCATAATACTTTGAATTGATCTCAAAATGGGCCATAATGGGACTAAAAGTGTAATTTCTGTTCAATTCCAACAACGCTGGTTATCTATTTTGTTTTATCAGTCAATATTGTATTTGTATTGTTCACAGTACCGACTTTATTTTGTCCAGTGTGAATGATGTCATCTGATCAACTTGCATTAATTACCTTATATTTAATCATAGACCTTAGAAAGAGAGGGACAGGCAACTACATCCTTTCTTTTGTTTTAACCTGGGTTATAATCCTCCAAATAATCTCACAATCTTATTAACGAATAAACAACCATCTGTTTATTTGTACTGTCGGCAGCACTCGTGAAATCGCGCAAAACGCGCAAGTTTCCCTGCGTGACTACTGAAGCGACGGTCATGAATATGCTAATTGTATGTTAATGTTAGTATGTAAGTACGTTTCCAAATAGTTTAGAAAATTCAGAATTTCGACTTTTTTTAAAGCAAGTAATCAAATTAAAATACCCAAATTATTTAGTAAACGCAATAATTTGAACAACAGATGTTTTTATTTTGAGAAATCGGGCAAAAATAAAGCAATCAAAAAAAGATCGGGTCAGCCATTTTGTTGTAGGACGATTGTCACACGTTTACAAGCAGTTTGGAAAATTCAGAATTTCGACTTTTGTAACGAAAGTCATCAAATTAAAATACCCTAATTACTTCGAAAATTGTATGACTCAAGTAAAAAATGCAATAATTTGAACAACAGATGTTTTATTTTTGACAAGTCGGGCGAAAATACGGCGATCTAAAACAAACCGGGTCAGCCATTTCCGGTGTAAGCTGCTGACTTTCATGGTTTGAATTTCAAACAGTTCAGAAAATTCGTAATTTCGACTTTTGTATAGCAAGTCATCAAAATAAAATACCCTAATTACTTCGAAAATGGCAGGACTCAAGTAAAAACCGCAAAAATTGGAACAATAGATGTTTTATTTTTGAGAAATGGGGCGAAAATACAGCAATCTAAAAACAATCTGGACGAGTCCTGACATTTCCTGAAAACAGTTCGGAAATTTCAGAATTACGATTTTTAAATATAAACTAGCAAAACTAAAATACGTAAGTATCATTGAAAATAGTATGATTTAAGTGAAAATATGATAATGCAAACAACAAGTGTTTTTATTTTCCCGAAAACGGGCGAAAATGTGGCAGTCGCAGGATAAGTATTAGTCAATCATTTGTCACCGCACATAAAATCAGCCGAGTAGTTAATTTATACTGATGAAAAAAACCGAATTGTAACTACATATACATGTAATAAGTGTCACCTAATAACCAGTACAAAAACTGGATCTTGTATTGAAATTAAAAATTCAATGTTATGAGCACAAGCACTGAAAGACGTGTTGCAAACTGCGCGGCCGATTGATTGTGAGTGACGGCATACGGTTTTCTTAGCTTGGTCATTTGTTTATAACTGTAGTGACCCATGTTGCACGCCAGATGTCATGAAATCCTTTGTTTTATAATCCAGTTGCCTGTCCCTCTCTTTCTAAGGTCTATGATTTAATGCAATATAAACAGTCAAAACATTCACCATGGGCAATTGTCGTACTTCAAAAGAAACAAAGTCATTGTTATTCCTGTGATTTGTTGTTACTTGGTGTGATTGACTCCCGTGTGCGAAGCACAAAAAGGACGTCTTTGCAGTTAGTGTGTCTGTATGTGTGTGTGTCCGTCTGTTCCACTGATATCTCAAGAACCATACATCAGTTTTTGATGAAACTTGGTGCATAGATGCTCTGGGCCAATGCGCATATTTGATTAGGTTTTGGTAAAAATCTATGCATATTAATTACCTAATTTGCATGATAATTAGCTGATTTTTAGCTGTTCCATGACTGTTCCACTGATATCTAAAGAACCACTCATTGGATTTTGATGAAACTTGGCACACAGATGCTCCAAACTAATGCACAGATTTGATTAGTTTTGGGTAAAAATCTGTGCAATATTAATTACCTACTTTGCATAGTGATTAATCAATTTTCGGCTTTTCCACTGATATCTCAAGTACTAATCATCACATTTCAATAAAACTTGGTACATAGATGTCATAGGACACTGCACAAACCTGATAGTTGTTAGGGTAATACGAGTACATATTGAT